CCTCCCAAGTAGCTGGGACCACAGGTGCCCACCATAACGCCCAGCTATTTTTTGGTTGCAGCCGCCATTGTTGTTTGGCGGGCCTGGGCTGGATTCGAACCTGCCACCTTAGGTATATGTGGCTGGTGCATTAGCCACTTGAGCCACAGGTGCTGAGCCCCTAATCAGGTCTTTTTTCTTTTCAGACAATTGATTTGTCAATTTGGTGGCTACTGTTTGAATTACTATGCAGCAGATTTGAAATAAATCACAGCCTGCACATTCTTTTTGGAAAGCATGAGCAAATTCTGCCTGGTTTTAGAGGAAAATTCCAGGATTTGTATCAGTCTACAGAAGCTAATGTATTACAGTTGAATGGGTAATACCATTGTAGGAGTTAATCGAATTTCGGCCTGAAGACTTAGATTTGGGGATTTTTGCAGTCTGAACTTTTTACCTGAGATGAAGTCGTATTGAGGAATTTGACTTTATTCAAGTCTGTGTCTCTTTTGCAGGGTGTGAGGAGTGTAATAACGCACATTCTTCAGTGTGCCCGAAGCATGGCCCCTTGCATCCCATCCCCAACCGGCCTGTGCTCACCCGAGCCAGAGCCAGCCTCCCTCTGGTTCTCTACATAGACAGGTTCCTCGGAGGAGTGTTCTCCAAAAGGCGCATTCCCAAGCGCACGCAGTTTGGCCCCGTGGAGGGCCCCCTCGTGCGGGGGTCCGAGCTGAAAGACTGTTACATTCATCTGAAGGTAATTTATGCTTTGTCATGGTTCACCCGTGTTCCTTTAATGGTTTTTCCAGGAGCATTCAATTTTCTGCTGAGTCTCTTATTTCAATTTCATAGCTGTTGTTTGCTAGCGCTTTTCTTTCTGTGCTTAATTTGTTTTAAGTGGAAGCTTTCTCTCTCACCAATAAACTGGAGATTGCAATTTTAGGTTATGAATAATTCTGAGAGCTGTAGTCCTGAGGGTCTATAATAGTTTGTTACGGCTACTGTAATAAAATACCACAGACTGGGAGGCTTAAACACCAGAAATTTATTTTCTCGTGGTCCTGGAGGCTGGAAGGCCTAGAGCAAGGTTTTTTGGTAGGGTGTTTTTTTCTTTTTGGTTTTTGGCTGGGGCTGGGTTTGAACCCACCATTTCTGGCATATGGGGCCAGTGCCCTACGCCTTGAGCCACAGGCTCCACCCTAGATGGCCGCCATCTTGCCGTGTCTTCACAGGGTCCTTCTCTGGCTGGTCTGTGTCCTAATCTACTCTTGTTACAAGGGCCTGTCACACTGGATTAGGGCTCAGCCTAATGATCTCATTTCAGTTTCATTACCCTTTCAGAGGCCCTATCTCCAAACACAGTCATGTTCTGAGTTAGGCCTTCAACGTGAATTCGAAGGAGAGACACAATTTAGCCTGTATTGGGGCTTTGACAGCCACTGTCTTTTTTTTCCCCACCTTCTTTCTTTTTTGAAAAAATAACTTTAGAATACGGGTGGCGCCTGTGGCTCAAAGGAGTAGGGCGCTGGCCCCATATGCCAGAGGTGGTGGGTTCAAACCCAGCCCCAGCCAAAAACTGCAAAAAAACCCCCAAAGCTTTAGAATACAAAGAAGATTATGTGGATTTTATGTAATTTGCTATGTGCTGGTAATGTTTGCAGGGAAACCACTTCAATTTTGTAACAAGTCTCTCCTTTTGAATCTTTCATTTAAAAAATAAAGTTCAGTACACAGTGAAGTATTTATATTGGTCTCTGTTCTTTACATCTGATGGTTTTGCTTCCATCCAAGCCTCCCTGCCATCCACTTCTAGGATAGCTATTCCAAAAACTAAGTTGCTAAGAACTAAGACAGGGCAATGAGAAGGGCACATATTTGGGACGTGTTTTTCGACAAGTCCGTTGCTGTCGTGGTGCTGATTTCTTTGGTGAGTGCTGAAGATCCCCAAGCAAGAATATTGCTTTCTAAAGAGAAATGCTTTCCCTGGGCTGCCCATTATAAAGGATGCCTTTGAATCCCGAAAGGAGGCAAGTTGTAATGAACCGGAGAGTATTCTGCTTGTACTTTCTGGCTTATTTATACCCTTTTTTGTCATGTTAGTTTTGTGAAATGCTAATAAAGCCATGCAGTTAGATTGTTAGTGTTCAGATCTTACCAGGCAATTCTCTTCCCTTACGGGCGAGGCCTCAGAAAGTATCTTTTCTCTTTTACATGAGGCAGGTCACAATGTCAGTATCTTTCTAGAGAGAAAGGGAAGAGTCAGGATTTATGGTTCATTTAGGGAGCGGTGGTTTATATATTATGACGTGCGTGCATATCCTACTGAAGGTTTTGTTTTTGTGGTGTGGCTTTTTACTTTCTCTTTGGTTACAGGTTTCTCTTGATAAAGGGGACAGAAAAGATAGGGATTTGCATGAAGACCTATGGTTTGAGCTGTCTGATGAGACCCTGTGTAACTGGATGATGTTTGTACGCCCAGCCCAGAATCACCTGGAGCAGAACCTGGTGGCTTACCAGTACGGCCACCATGTGTATTACACGACGATAAAGAACGTGGAGCCCAAGCAGGAGCTGAAGGTACAGTGCTGGGTTCACGGTGCGATTTGTGAGCAATGGCGACGACTTAGGGTTTTTCCTAAGTTTTTTTCCCTTAAAGTGGGATTGTTAGAAAAGTGGTTCTTTTCCTGGTAATTTACTTATTTATCGAGCAGCTGAATAAGTAAAGAGAAGCTACACAAATCCTATCTTTGGAACTGTCAACTAGGTCATCTATAAGTCCCAAATAAAATGTGTAAAAGGAAATTCCTATCCCACACCATCTATCCTAACAAATTCTTGTTTTTCTTTTTCCTTTTTTTTTTTTTTTGAGACACAGTCTTACTTTGTTGCCCTTGGTAGAGTGCTGTGGTGTCACAGCTCACAGCAACCTCAAACTCTTGGGCTTAAGTGATTCTCTTGACTCAGTTTTTCTATTTTAGTAGAGCTGGGGGTCTCACTCTTTTGCTGAGGCTGCTCTTGAACTTGTTAGCTCACGTAATTCACCCAGAGTGCTAGGATTATAGGTGTGAGCCACAAGCGATTCTCTTGCCTCAGCCTCCCAAGTAGCTGGGACTGCAGGTGCCAGCCACAAGTTGTGCCCAGCTGTTTTTTGGTTGTAATTCATTGTTGTTTGGCAGGCCAGGGCTGGATTTGAACCCGCCAGCTCTGGTGTATGTGGCTGGCACCTTAGTCACTTGAGCTACAGGTGCTGAGCTGCCAATAAGTTCTTGATAAGAAAAAAACTGAAGTAGGGTGGCGCCCATAGCTCAGTGGGTAGGGCGCTGGCCACATACACTGAAGCTGGCAGGTTCAAGCCCAGATTGGGCCTGCTAAACAACAATGACAACTGCAACAACAAAAAAAATAGCGTGGTGTTGTGGCGGGTGCCTGTAGTTCCAACTACTTGGGAGGCTAAGGCAAGAGAATTGCTTAAGCCCAAGAGTTTGAGGTTGCTGTGAGTTGTGACGCCATGGTATTCTACCTAGGGCAACATAGTGACCTCTAAACTTACTATATTGACCTCTAACCTTACTATACCCACATGGAGAAAAGAACAAATGCCAGGGTTAGATTTTATATGGAGGAGGAAACAAATAGTAAAAATAATTAAATTTTTTTTCTCAACATTAATAGTTTTAAAAGCTGTTAAAGGCTCGGCGCCTATAGCTCAACAGGCTAAGGCGCCAGCCACGTACACCTAAGGTGGCGGGTTCGAATCCCCAGCCCGGACCCGCCAAACAACAATGACGGCTGCAACCAAAAAATAGCCGGGCGTTGTGGCGGGCGCCTGTGGTCCCAGCTACTTGGGAGGCAGAGGCAGGAGACTCGCTTGAGCCCAGGAGTTGGAGGTTGCTGTGAGCTGTAATGCCACGGCACTCTACCCAGGGGGACAGCTGGAGGCTCTGTCTCAAAAAAATAAAAAAATAAAAAAATAAAAGCTGTTAAAATAACTATTAGCTACTATTTTGTTAAGTTAACAAAAATAGATACAGTAAAATGAATAAGAGGGGTTTTAAAAAGAGGGATATTAATTATATTATAGTGCTTTAAAATAATCAACAAGATGGCTACTTTATTTTTGTTGAAGGAGCTATTTCAGACTTAGTCATAGTTTTTAAATTACATCACACTTGCACATATACAGCAAGGCACGCTTAAGTGAAATAAACTGGTTGGGGTATAAACTGCTTTGTGCACTCTTTTTTTTTTTTTTTTTATCTTGCCATGGATGTGGGTGCCCTTCTGTGTGCTGTCATCTTCTGTGTCTTCAGGAGTGTCGCTGCTGCTACTGTAGTTCTAAAATAAATGCTTCATAATTGCCCGTGGGGTGTTGCCTCAAACCAGGGGTGGCCTTTCTGCAAGTTTTGACACTGCTTTCCCATTTGACTGAACTCATCTATGCCTTTTCCCTCAATTGAATTGTCTGTATCCTTGGTAGTTAAGTGGTTTTTGATTGAGTCAGTGGGAAGTGTCTGACAATTTGCTATCTGATGCCTTAATGAGAGGCCCTGCAGGCTGTGCGCCAGCCTCAGATTGCTTTGAAATTTCTTTTGTTTATTCTGAGGAAAATGGCAAATTTTTCAGGCCTATTTTTGCATCACTTGGCATCAACTCATGGAGTGCCAGTAGGCTCACAGTGAATGAGGTGAAAGAGAACTAAGAACTTGGCCAGGTTTGTGCAAGAACGGGGAGCAAGGAAGTGAGAGCCGTGTCCTGGACACAGATGCAGGATGCCGTAGACTATGGGACATATTCTGATTTCTGAAACGCTGAAATATAAAGAAAGGAAAAATATGTCCTGGAATTGATGGGTTAGAGTAGAATTCGGGATAGTCAAATGCTATAAACCACCTTTTAAAAGTAGAAACCCGGCCATAGTTAAGTAAATTATAGAATACAGACTCTACAGAATATTATCCCACAGTTCAAAGATGAAGTCTCTATTAATATTTCTATATATTTAAAATTATGTTCCTTAAAATTATAGATGATCGGTTGGTTTAGTGATTGATATATAGAACGCCAGCCGTGTTTCAGACACTAGGAGAAGACAGACTGGCTTCCTACGGTCAGGGATCTTGTATTCTAGAGGAAAAATAGAAAGATGTGAACAAGCAAATGAGATCCCAGAGGGGTAAGTGCCAGCAAATGACAGGAAAGGGACCAGTTCAGGGTTTAGGTGTGTTTAGGGGAGGCCTTGCTGGCTGCGCACTGTGGAACAAGAAGGGCCAGCACAGCAGAGAGTGGGGACGGGGTGAGGAAAGGAGCCCTGTACTCCTGGGGGTGAGACGCAGGGGCAAAGGCACCGGGTGGGAAGGAGCTGGCAGCAGAGCCTCAGACCCTCTCGGCTGGACAGTGGGCAAGACAGCATGATGTGGACTGGGGCTGGGAAGTCACGGAGCCCTTGGACATCGTCATTGAGCATTTAAGATTTATCGTGAAATGAGAAGCCGTTGCCTGTATGACGAGATCTGGTTGTTTTTCATCAATACAGACATGCCTGTTTGTTGTACATATTTTGGGGCCTGTGTAATGATTAAATCAAGGTACCTGGGATTTAAGGAGGTCACTCTGGCTCCTGTGTAGATTGTGGGAAAAGGGTGAGTGGGAGGCTAGTTAGAGCATTGGTTAGAGCTAGTTAGAGCAACAGGCAACTGATGGTGCTGGTTGTGCATCTGGGCAGCAGAAGCAGAAATGGCGAACATCTCAGGAGCAGCCGCCCTTGCTAAAGGCTACAGAAGCAAGTGGAGACATCAAAGACAACTTTTGGGTGGAAGGTATTTGCTGAGCTGTGGAAGATTAGCCGGGGTGGAAGTGTGAGTTGGGAGGTATCAGAATTCCACGCTGGACAGGTTAAGTTTGAGCTGATGTGAAACATCCAGAAAGCCGAGTCACAGTCACCCAGAGGAGCAGAGAAGGAGGGTGTGGCATGGAGATCTTGATGTGGGGGTCGTTAGCACGGATTGAGTTGGAAAGGGATATGATTACCTGCGTTTAAAATCAGAAGGCCTTGGACTTGGACTACACTTTTGAGGAACACTAATATTTAGAAGTTAGGGAGAAGAAGAAAGCCAGAGAAGGAGAGTGAGCAGGAACAGCCAGCAGGTGGAGGGGGAAAGCCAAGCGGAGTGTGGTGGGATCTGGAACAGTCTGCTGGTTATCCCAGTCAGAGCTGTTTGGTGGCTGCCACTAACAATTACAATTGTGTACAAACCTGTGTTTAATACAGATTAAAAATCAGGGCAGGCTGTTTATTTAGATGAAGTGACTTTGGGATATAATTCCTATGAAGTTGTTATAATAGCAAAACAATTTTCTAAAGAGGAAAAAGAAAACATGCAGTGTGCCTCGGCAAATGGACTTCTGACTGTGGTCTGCTGGAAGGGTATAGCAGGCCAGACTCACGGCATGATTTTTTTTAATGAGCTGTGGAAAAGCCTGGATTGTTTCATATAAGCCGGAGAAAAAAACTTATGCATGCAAAGAACATCTGGTAATGTAGTTCTTGATTATATATACTTGCTTGGTTCTTGCAGGTGTGGTACGCTGCCTCCTATGCTGAGTTCGTGAACCAGAAAATTCATGACATTTCTGAGGAAGAAAGGAAAGGTGATTGGACATTTATATTTTACATTTTCTATATGAATTTTAAATTGTATATATTACATCTTTGATCATCCTCTAAATTTTCTGTCTCACTATATTTCAGCAGATATTCCAGTAGGTTTTTTAGAGCTGTACATCTCCATCTAATTCTCCATCAAATTATAATGACATATTAACATTTCTTTCCTGGGTGCTGGAAAATAGTATTTAATATAATGAAAACCTCCAAATGCCAAATTAGAAACCTAGATCAGAGGGTGATTCCTATCTCTGAGGATAGAGCAAGCCGGCCTTGGCTTTGTTTTTAATGTAAATGTTACTGCAGTATAATCTGCATGTGGAAAGGTACACAGACCAGAGGTAGACGGCTTGATGGACTTTCACAAAGGGAACGCACCTTTGAAACCTGTACCCAGATCAAGACGGGACATTACCGGTGTCCTAGAAGTCCCTTGTGCCTTCTAATTCTCACGCCCAAGTATAATTACTCTTCTGACTTCCAGTGCCACACATAAGATGTGCTTTTAATAGAACTGTGGATAAACAGAATCACATGACACGTACATTTTTTGTGTCTGTGGCACCTTCTGCTCAGCGTGGTATTTGGGAGAGTCACTCACATTGTTGTACATACTTGTGATTTCCTCATTCCCATTGTTTGATGTTCTCTTGTGTGAATGTAAAACGAGTCATTTGTCCATTTGACTGTAGACCTTGTGAGGTGCGGTTCTAGCACTGACCACCCACAATGAGGTCAGACTTCACAGGTTAAGGCACAGCCTTCACTCTCTTCAGACACTGGCTGCAAACTCTGTGCTTCCCAAGCCACACATGCTTCTGACCAGCTACCTACAACACAGGGGCTCCCAGTAGCCCCTCAGGTTTAATTATTCAGCAGAATGACTCACAAAACTCAGAGAAGTACTGTACTTAACAATTACAGTTTTATCATAAAAGATAGCTTCCGGACCAGCCCAGTGACGAGATGAGGTAGGGTGAGTTCTGGGTCAGTCCCAGAGTGAAGCTTCCACAGCCTCTGGATGTGTCTCCATCCTGACATCAGTGACATACAATTACCAACCATAGACCGTCTCCTGGGCTTTGGTGTCTGCAGTTTTTATTGAGGTATCATCATATCGGCATGACTGCCTGAATCACTGGGCAGGAGAATGAACTCAAATCACCAGCTCCTGATCCTCTTCCCCTCCCCTCTGGGAGGTCAGGCTGATATGGCCTGGTTCAAAGCCCCAGTCTTCTAATCACCTCATTGGGCTTTTGGCAAAACCCACTCACCCTCAGTCATCTCATTAGAACAAACTTGAGTATGGTGAAGGGCCCACCCAGAATAACAAAGACATTCATATTACTTGGGAAATTCCAGTGATTTAGGCATTACCTCCCAGCATCCAGGGACAAAAACCAGCCAGATTTTTTATTGTACGACAGAATTGCTTCTAGTTTTTGGCTATTTTGAAGAGTGTTACTATAACCATTCTTACATACGTACTTTAGGGAACATGTGTGCACGTTTCTGTTGGTGTCCATCTGGGAGGGAGTGGAATTAATTGCTAGATCATTTGGTATGCAAATACTTTATTAGATACTTCTGAACATTTTGTTAAAGTGATTATACTGGACATTGACTTTGCAGTCATTTGTGGGAAAGTAAACCCTCAGAGTATAAAACTTGGGTCTGAATCACTAGGTTATCTGAATGCAGATTTCTTTTGTAGTATTTTTTTGTCTTTCCAGTGTGGTGAGGGGTGTGTGTGTGTGTGTGTCTATGTATTTAGGGGAGGAAGAGAGTGGTATAAAGGTGTTTGTTCTTTTGATGTCTTGTATAAATGTACCAGAAAATAAGATCCTAAAAAAATAACTCTTTGCCAAATTTTAACCTTTGATTTTTATGACAAAACGGTAATGCAAATAGCAGATACTGTCTAATTGTGAACTCGTGGGTGCCAGTGAGGTGAGAGTGGTGGGGATGGCAGGCATTTCTGTTTGATTGGTGTCTATTGATCATCAGCCTTTATAATTTCTCTCTTGTGACTAGTTCTTCGAGAGCAAGAGAAGAATTGGCCCTGCTATGAATGCAACCGCCGATTTATAAGCTCGGAGCAGCTGCAGCAGCATCTTAATTCTCATGATGAGAAACTGGATGTGTTTAGCAGGTATAGATGAAGGGGAATGGCCCCAGCATAGTTTTCGAAGGCTCAGAATCATTTCTGTATGTATTGTGTGTAAGCAAATCAGTGTCTCCACGTGTGTTGGTGAGCATATGTATGTGCACAGGGGACCAGGTGGGATGCTGAGAGAGACGTCCTGTCATTTCTCTTCTCTCCTGCCTTTCACTTACCATTTTCCCTTTTCCAACACAACCAATGCCAAGCAATGGGAGGTCCTCTCACCTCTCTTTTAACTAGAGATTCTGAAATAGGCACATTTGAGATAGCATGTATCTTTAAAATAATCTACATCTCTGCTTTTCAGACTTTTTCCAGCAGTGATTCTTTTATCAAACTAAATCATATATTTAATTCTATTCTATAAAAAAGGTAAATGAGGGGAGAATCTTAAAGGATAGAGTGAGCAGGGGCTGGACCAGGTAGGGCCTTATGAGTAACACTAAGAAACTTGGGCTTTATTCTAAAAGATCACTCTGGATAAAAAGGACACCGGGTTAGCTTAGAGTAAAACTGAAGATAAGGAGTCCAGTCAGAAGTTACTGCAACAGTTCAGGTGAGGAACAAGGGTTGTTTGGAAAGGGTAGTACCAATGCCCCAGATATAGAGTTGCAAACTTTTAAAGGGAGGGTTGGAAAGAGAGGAGACAGGCTGGGATAGCAGCTAAATAGGAAATTGGACATTCTAGGGAAGTACCATACAATTGCCGGCAACATTAGTGCTCACTTGAAGTTCATGGTCACGGAAAGCCAGTGAGACCACCAGCATGGCTGGGTATTGTTCTGCAGCTTCATTCAGCGGCAGTCGGCCTGGTGCAGAGTGGGCTGAGGATTGGACCATGCATGGTCATGGCTTTGCCAAGTGCAGACAGTGCACAGAGAAAATAATGGAACAGCAGTGGGGCTGGGAATTGAGAGTGTGTACTAGGGAGTGATCATAGTAGGTGACTTTGGAGTTTATGCGTGGAAAAAAGGGAGGGAAAGCATCAGGGGATCCAGGACCACACATGAGTGATAGGAAGGTTGGCCTGGAGATTCTAGCGACATTGAAGGGCTCTTGATCTGGGTATGAGAGAGAGATAGTGTCAGAGCGGGCTGTGCATGGAATTGGGGGAATAAAGGTTCGTGTGGATGTTAGGATCTGGGGTATGACCACAAGAGTAAATGTCTCAGGATGGGGCCAGTGGGCACAGTGAGCTTTAAGTCATTCCTAAGACTCGGCTCATGGTATTTTGTACGTTGTATTGTGGTTCTGCATTTATTGCCTGCTGCTTCTAAAATCCATCCTGTTTAACTGGATGTCTTTAGAGTCTAGCACAGTGCCTGATACAAAATAGATAAAATGTCAGTTAGCCAGCTTTTGAAAGATATTTGAGATAATTAGGAAAATTTGAATTTTGACAAGATATGATACTATCAGATATTTTTTAGGTGTGAGATGGTATTGTGGCCATAATATAGAGAGTCCTTATGATTTAGAGACACATACTGAAATATTTACAGATACAATGATGTTTGGGATTTCCTCCAAAGCTGTGTGTGTGGGGTGGGGGCACTGGTGGGGATATTGATGGAAGATCAGCCATGACTTGATGATCAGTGTTGAAACTGGGTTATAGGTACATTGGGCTCATCATGCTGTTCTCTGCATTTGCCTAGGTTCAGAATTCTCCATCAGAAAGAATCTTTTAGAAGTTCCTGAAAATATATATATAATATTTGTTAAATTGTTGAATAGATGCGTGGAAGGATAAAGCATGATATAATTGATATTATACACCCCCCCAACTCTAAAAGAAGTTTGCATGACATACTTTCTGGGTCTCTTTCATAAAGAAATTTTTGTGTGTTACAAATACATTAAAGGGATAAAATTTAATTGATGTTTACAGGCATGTTATGTAATCATGTTAATGCATGTTATGTAATCAGAAGTTTGTTCTGATTTTTCAGAAGCTTATCATAAAACAAGAAAGTTCTTTGAATTTTAGCCACATTGCTTGGGAGGAGTATGAGGTGTGGGTAGCAGAGGAGAGGGAGTATGGCCGTAGCTTGCCTTAGATGATGTCTCCTGGGGACAGGGACACGCTCTAAGACGCAGCAGGTTCTGTCCTATCTGCAGTTCTTACATCATTTCAGAAGTAAGATGTTGTCAAAGCTGTGAATTTTTATACTTCTTTTCTTCAGAATAATTTAAGACATCTCTTTGAGCGATAGGGAGGGCAAAGAGGAGACATTCAGAAAGCATCTAGTAGCAAAACAGTTGTTTCCATTAGAGCAAAGACTCAGGGAAAGCAGGACAGCCAGAACACGTCAAAATCTGGGCTTAGTCGGGATCACTCGGGACACTTTTGTTATGGAGTGTTAAATAACACCATGATTTGTAACCCAATCTCTTGTCCCCAGAACGAGAGGCAGAGGAAGAGGACGAGGCAAGAGGCGCTTTGGTCCAGGTCGACGTCCAGGGCGGCCTCCAAAATTTATCCGCCTGGAAATAACCAGTGAAAATGGGGAAAAGAGTGACGATGGGACACAGGTACTGGGGACCGGACAGAGCTCCCCTAGAGGCCCAGGTCCCTTCCTCGATGTCAAAACAGGCCTTTCCTATTAGAGCGTTGCTGCCTGTTAATTAAAGTGTGATTGAAGGATGGCAAAAGAATGTATTTTCAAGTCTTAACTTCCAAAGAAAACCCCAACTTGCTGCCCTTCATGAAGATTTGAAATTGACCCGAGATACCTGGGGTGGGCTTTGCTTAAACAACGAAGTTATTGATGTTCCAAAAAACCTGTATCTCCATCTTTTCCTGGTTTCCATCTTTCCTGGTCTGTAATTTCTCATAGTTTTTGCATTTTGTGCATAGTTACCTAATTAACTTTCCCAGAAGGAGGGTATTTTTTTCTGAGCATTATGAATCTAGTCATTCAGAAATAAGCGGCAATTCTAAATCCGAGTTGACAGTCTTCCTTTCAGCGCTGACCTCTGTCTGGGCAGGAAAATAATCCCAGGTTATTGCAAATTTCAGGACTTGCTGCATTTTCCCATAAAGGAACAGTTTGATGAGGCTGAACCAGCTACTCTGAACGGGTTGGATCCCCCAGAGCAGAGCAGCATCCCAATCCCTCAGCTGCCGCAGGACTCGCAGTCTTCCCTGGACCCTGAGCCGGAAACCCACACGCTGCACGTGCAGCCGCAGCACGAGGAGAGCGCGGTGCCTGCCCCGAGCGCGCTGACCGCTGACGACATGCGCAGAGCCAAGCGCATCCGGGTGAGTGGGCGCGCGCGCTGCTCGGGGCCGCCGGGCTTCCTCCCGCCCGCAGCCGGTCCGCGCTGTCCTCACGCCTGGCCACCATCCGCTTTGGAATCTTGCGTGTAGTCTGCCACGTGCTCGGTCCCCTAATTTTGGAAGAAATTATTAACGTCTCTATGTCCTATGACCAGGTAGGCCGGCGTGGCTGGTCCTAGACTCTGTCAATTTAGTAGTCACGCAGGAGCCTGGCTTTCGGCAGCTTGTGTGCTTAGCACGTGTGTCCTTAAAGGAGGGTAGCTGTGTGCATCTCGAAGTTCACAGGTTGGAGATGAAGAAATGAACACATTTAATTGTAACCATTATATTTTAAACAGACTAATGTGTGCCTGATCCTAGCTCTCAAGTTAATTTTAGGTAACTAAATTTGCTTGTCTACGGTTTCCAAGGGGAGACTGGCAAGTGTCATTACTCATCAATGCACAGGGACCTCCGTCCAGGTTGACAAGGGCAGGTGTAATCCACACACCTGGGGACAGCTTGAGCTAAAGCTTTAGGTTGGAAACCGGTCAATATCTCGCGTGTTGTGACCTGTGTCTTGGCTTCAGATCGTGTGGCTGCAGGGCTTCTGTGACTTCCAATTCAGATATGTTTTCTCTTATTATTTCACAAACAGCCTTTGAGTGTGGAAAACAAAATGGCTTTGTGTGATGAGTGTGCTTATAAAAAACAATGACTTGACAGGCAGCTGAGCACATAGAGATTTCTATTGGTACTTTATACATAGATGAAAAAGACTCTAACTTCTCAGATGTCATGATTTTTAGATGCATGATCATTTTAGCTTATGTTTATTTTGGATTTCTTATTTGCCTGTAGGCTAGAAGGGACCTTGAAAAATAGTCTAGTCCATGCCCTCGTGTAAAAATACTTTCAAATATTGATAGCTATATGATAGCTTTGAGGGACTTGTAAGCGCTCCGAGGTTAAAAAGCCTTGATGAGGGCCTTGTGATTGAAGTATATAAAACTTTTGGCTCAGTGTATGTTTTTTCAAAAGGATATGTAAACCTATAGAAATATAGACCAGAAAGGAAAAAAGCTATGAATTAATATCTTCGTCTCATTCTACTTTGTTTCTCAGTCTATACTTCCTTCTCTTGCTCAATTACTGTCTTTTCTGCTTTCGCCATTTTGATTTTTCACCAAGTTCAGAGAAATGGCTTGCTAGATTTGAAAGAAAAAACTAAAGCCCACATGTTATAGTGAAGTCGCAGGCGTTCAAGTACAGTCTAGCTATAATTGTATTTGTATTCCTGAATGAGTTGGGTTACTGGTTTTGTTAGAAGGTTTCTTATGGCAAAGCCAGAGCCGTGTGTATGTGGCTTTTGGAGGTCAGTCTTAGTTGAGCTATTTTGTTTCTTTCTTCTCACACATTCTAAGAAGTAGGGCTATGTATTTTTTCATCTTTTCTATCCAGGTTGGTAATGACCAACTGAAGGGAAGTCTTCCAATCCAATTGGTAATGTAACTATTTTTCTCTCCTCTAATGCTGCCTGCTCAGTTGGAGCTGCAGGTAGGTTTGTTTCCTGTGTTTCCCATAACAGAATGTCACTTAAGTGTTTGCCTGACCTGCTGTTTTTTGCAACCTGTACTTACTAAATCCTGGTAGAAATTACAATTTGGTTGCCACAGTAAATGCAATTTAATGAATAATGTTAATTTATTTGCAAACAGATCAATGAGTAAATCGTGGGCTGCTGATTCCTCAGATACAAAATGAAGGGTAGGACTAAGTGATCTCCAAGGTCCCTTCCAGCACTGAAACCATTGAGTGACTCATGCAGTGGTTTTAAGTTCTAACTGTGTATTCCGCACGGTGGTAGGTGCACTCTAGGGGCTTATAGTCGAAACAAGTAGTCAACAGGAAGGTACTTTACATGTAAGGGTTAAATGTAAAGGGATCTCTTGAAATTGCTACAGAAAGTTGGAAGAATGAAAGGCCAAAAAGAAGGATGGAGGAATTGGGATAATTCCTGGATGAGGTGAGACTAAGACTGGTCCTTGAAAAGGAGACAGGAGGAAGGCAGAACATTCCAGAGAATGGTAGCCACAGTCCCAGAGGCCCAGACACAGGGATATGCATGGTATGCTTACGGGACAGTGCAGACTAACTTGGCCTGGCATGGGGCACCTGCAGAAGGATGGTGAGGAGTGAGCCGTGCCGGGCACAGCTAGCCCACAAAAGGCTTTGAAAGCTGAGCAGAAAAAAAACTAGGCCAAAAAAAAAAAAAAATTTGAAAAATAACTCTAAAGTTGGGGCGGTGCTTGTGGCTCAAAGGAGTAGGGTGCCGGTCCCATATGCCGGAGGTGGTGGGTTCAAACCCAGCCCTGGCCAAAAAACTTCAAAAACCAAACCAAAACAGAACTCTAAAGCAACAATAAACATAATTGTTTGTTTTCCTTTTAGTGTCAGGATTGAAATAGTGTGGAAATTGATCAATAATTTAGGTTCCTTTTGCTATTAAGATCAAATTGTAGAAACATTTTATAGTCTTCATCTGCAGAGAGTATGTCCTCTCAGAATTCATTGCAACATGAGTTGAATCCTGAATAACAGAATTTAGCAGTGATGCTATTTTGATGTCCCTGGAGTAGCTGATGTACACATAGATGGTGTGATTGACTGACAGGAAGAAACACAATGGATTCATGTGCTCCCTCCACCGTTTTTCATGATTTCTTCTAGAAATGTGTACTAACTGTGGCTCTGAGCTACAGAATATTCCTTACAGTAGAAACGGCCTACACATGGTTTAAGGGGTAGAAACAGCACCAGTTATATACCTGTGTTATAAGGATCACATTCGTATCATTAGATCAGAGAAAGACATTCTAGTTCTTGAGTAGTTAGACAATGTTCAGGGCTCCCTGGAAATTGCCAAGATGATAAGGTTTGTCAACAGAACTAGGAAAGTGGAGCCAGGTGGCCGCTCAGTTTAAATCAAGTTTCTCAAGGTACTCATGCTAATCAGAGATGACAGAAGACTGATTAGCATAATGGACCAAAACAAAGCCAAGTAAGAAATGGAGTCTGTAGTAGGGCCAAAATCAATTCCTGTGCCTGTGTCTGTCCTTGGACGCTTCACTGCATTTAAATAAAAGAAACGATTCTTACACGGCGAAAGTACTCTGAATCATGCATCTTAAACCTCAGAAGGGCATCTGTTTATCTGCAATATTTATATAAAGTTTTGAAAGTAGATCAAGTAGTAACAGCTTTTTATGTAAAAGATTATCTAGACAGAGTAAAAACAGTAGGTGACTGCTAAGTCATGTGTGAGGAAGTGAAAGCAAGCTCTGTGGCTGATTTGGAAAAGGTCTGTTCTTAAAGGTCTCTGCAGATGCTATCGAAAAGACCTGGAGATATTTTTTTTGAGTTTTATGTGTAATATATTACATTAATTCTCAGACTATTGAAGACTTCCTCTGAGCTAAGCAGGTTATTAAGGGATCTAGAGACAGAGGAGAATGAAATATTAGGTACTCCCCGAAGCAGCCCCCATCGCCCTGGGAAGACAACAGAATTGCTGTTTATCTGCTCAGTGTAGATTCGTAGGCAGCATCTTACGGTTCTTACTCCTGGCCCGATTAGACGAGTCCTGAGAGACATTTTCCAGTCTGTACGTTACGTTGTACAGTAACTATGTTCAGAAAGCTCACTAAATAAAAGCTAATTATGTTACTTTCTGCCCCAAATGGTCATTTCACATTAAATTTAGTTTAGAAGTTGTTGCTTATCAGTATTTGAAATTCGAGTTTAAGTGCTGTTCGCGCTGTACTTTTTCGTCGTACAAATAATGCAGTGAGGTCTCCGTTAGTGCTTCAGTTACTGTTCCCTGATAGCTACGTAGGCAGACCTATTCACAGGTATTTTTTTTTGAGGGCTTTCCCCCCTCATCAGTCTCTAGAGCTTTCTCTTAGTGTTCTGAGGAACTGATGAATGAGTCTTCATTATAGCACAACTAAAATATTGATTCTGTATTCTCTGTGTGAAAGATGATTCTGTCGATCTGCTCTCTCCAGAGCATGAGTGGTTTTTCCAGTAGTGGTGATGGATTTGCACTGAGTATCCATGTTCTCTCACTCGGATTCCTCATAACAATTGCATGAATTTACAGGATGGCTAATCAGCATTAGAAGTGCAATCTGCAACTGAAAACAGAAAGCAAAATTGCCTGGTGTAGGCAGGGAACAAAACAGTATGCTTAACTGAGTTAGCATGGCCTTCTAACCAGTAGAACTAACTTAGCTGCACTGGGACTTTGCCCTCTGCATTTTCTAAGTAGGAAGTGATGAAATGCATATACTCCACTTTGGATACGTGGTTCTGTCTTGTGAACAAACACATTCACACAAATCTGACTCCTTCATTTTCCTTTCAGTTCTTTTTCCCAAATTGAGATTTATAATACACATAAAAGCATAAAATTCACTCTTACAAAATGGTTTCTAGAATAGTCCCAAAGCTGTACAGCCATTAAACTATTTAATTCCAGAATAGTTCATCATCCCCAGGAGAAACCCTACGTCCATTTCCTCCTGCACCTTGTCCCTGGCAAGGACTATTCCTCAGTTTTTTTTAACATTATTATTTTTTTTGAACATTTGAACCAAGCTTCAAATTCTTTTTCTCAAGGACTTCAGCAAGTAATGTTTGGCTGACTTGATCCAAGCTCATTCGTGCCTGAGTGACTTACCCCCCATATTGTCCTTCAGATCTTTAATTTTTATCCCATTCCATTCTGGGGTTTGTTTCTATTGTATTTGTCTTCTATGAGAAACACTTTCTTCAATGTTACTTCAATCCTTTCAAAAGAAAACACATTAATGACTTTCTATAGAAAAAGGGAGAAAAAAGAAATAAAAGTACAAAAGAAAACACATGTACATAGAGATAAAAACACCCACACACAAGTTTGTCTTTTCAAGATGAACTTTGGGGATGGTTTCGTTTTCAGTGTCTTCACCAAACAAATCTTTCAACTCTGTGTGTGTCCTAGAGTTTAACTTCTCTAGGAAGTCTGTGATTGGAGAGATCATCCTCTCTTTCTCTCTAAAAGTGTGATGCACTTGAACTTTTAATTTCCTCACTGAATAATCACGTCTGTGTATGTCTTTCAGAATGCAGCTCTTCAGCATCTGTTTATTCGGAAGTCCTTCCGGCCTTTTAAATGTTTGCAGTGTGGGAAGGCCTTCCGTGAAAAGGACAAACTAGACCAGCACTTACGCTTCCACGGGCGGGAAGGGAACTGCCCGCTGACCTGCGACCTCTGCAACAAGGGCTTCATCAGCAGCGCGTCTCTGGAGAGCCACATGAAGCTCCACTCCGACCAGAAGACCTACTCTTGCATTTTTTGCCCAGAATCCTTTGACCGCCTTGATTTGTTGAAAGATCATGTGGCCATTCATATTAACGATGGCTACTTCACCTGCCCAACTTGTAAGAAACGGTTCCCAGATTTTATCCAGGTAAGTGGCGGCCACTGAGATTCCCGTCTGCTTTCCTCTTATGGTAAAAGAAACTTCGATTTCTGGAAAACTGAGACTGCCTCCTATCTGCAGTGTCATCCCTTCTTTGCAACAACTTTACAATGAGAACAATATTTCTTCAATCAAACTTTTATAAACAAAAGATAATTATAATCCTTAATTGTCCAGATCAGACGTTAGCATTTGGATAGTTAAGTTATATTACAAGTAGTAAACACCCAGATCTGTTGTAATTTTTAAAAAGTCTTTCTTAATCTTCGTCAGTATCCATTACTCACAAGATATACACAGTCTGTAGAGGACATAGTCTATTGCCCAATTCCTAGGCTGGAAATATCCCCTCCCTACCCCTGTGGTTTCCTGTCTTGCTTTACTAAGGCTGTGCCGTGCAAGGAAGCAAGGGAAAGCTGATTTATAGTATACTCTTGTCTCCAGCACTGACTACCTCCCTGTAGAATCTGGGAGGGGCAAAATGGTGAAAGTAAATGTCAGAATATTCACGATTTCATTTGGACTTCAAGTGTTATTATTTTTCTGTGCTAGTCAGAGAATACTAAATATCTTATGAAACTACTATTTTTTTAAAATTACCAAAGGGACAAGAGATAAGGACTTAATCATTGTTCTGCTAGTGTTCAGAGGCCTGGCAATTTTCTCGCTTCACACAATCAGAAGGGTTGCTTTAAGGCAGAATTTAATGACCAAAGAAACTCTAAAAATAACAAAGCAAACTCTCTTAGGAATAGGTTATTATTATACTTTTTTCTTCTTAGAGACTGGGTGTCACTTAAACCCAGGCTGGTCTCCAACTCCTAGTCTCCAGGGACCCTTCTGCTTCAGCCTCCCCCAGTGCTGGGGTTAAAGGTGTGAGGCATCATGCCTGCCCAGGAACATTTCCATATGACTCACTGCTTAACTTTCCACCACAACCCTTCTTCATGGGACATATATGGCTAAAAGAGTTCAGAAGCCATATTCCTTCATTTAAGTTATCTAAAAGTAAGGGGAATAAGAGCCAATTAAAGAGAAATGACACCAACATTATGTCACGTTCATAAATATTTTCTATATTGTTTAATTCATGCCTTTAATTCTTCTGAACCTGCTTTATAGGAAGATGTAAAAATCACTTAGTAAAAGGGGCTATATTAAGGACAGAGAAAAGTGAGGAAAAATTATTTTTTGTCTTTCTGTACATCATTTTTAGCAAGATTTATTTAAACCCAAAGGAAAGGAATGCTTTCTTTTTTTTTTTTTTTTACTTATAAAACAATTTAAGTGGAATATTGCTTCTAATAAAACAAAGGAGGGACTCCATGTGATCGGGGTTTCACAAGAAAGCATTCTTTCTTCAAGTCTTTAACTCATCTGGGAGATGAGGATTTCTTAGGCGTTAAGTTTCTTTCTCTGTGACAGGGACGGTGTGTTACAGGGACCAATTGTCACATCTGGTCGGATTCCTCCAACAGGTCCAGGACAGCCCGTGGCGTGCCTCGGGCGCCCCCTAGTGCTCGATAGGTGTCTAAGCCGTTTCCTTTGGTGCCCAGAGCGCTCTCTGACTTCACTGGTTTTTACCTCCAGGTGAAAAAACACGTGCGCAGTTTCCACTCAGAAAAGATCTATCAGTGCACAGAGTGTGACAAGGCCTTCTGCCGCCCCGACAAACTGCGACTGCACATGCTCAGGCATTCGGACCGCAAAGACTTCCTGTGTTCCACCTGCGGGAAACAATTTAAGGTATGAGGCTGGTGCGCGACTGGGGCGGTGCTCACGGCGCCGGAGTTACCGTGAGCGCAGGACACGTTCTGGTTCCTTTCATCAGTTTATTACCCACTTCTGAAGAACTGGACTGGAGCTGCACATTGGGCCCCTGTTTGACTTAGGTGCAAAATTCAGGGACGAAAACTTTACCTAGCTTAAATTCTCAAAATAATTAATTAAAATCTCCGAACAGAGTAATAATGCATCTCTTAAAAGGATCCAAATATATAATGACTAGTGGAACTTAATTGCTATTGAAAATTCCTAGGAGACCAGTACATTTACTTACCATTCAAATCAAGACATTTTTATTGATCGCTTATTATGTACATGTGTAAGAGCAAGTAATTGAGCCTGCAGGTAGCCAGACTCTCATCTAATGGAGGTGAGAATTCAGAAGGACCCAGAGAAGGCTTAGACTACTTTGGAGAATGTTAATGACTTCAAGGATTAAAATAAAAAATAATAAGTATCATGAACCTGCCTCCTGGAATTTAGAAGCAGCTGAGCAGAAAGTTGCAGGAGACTCGGAGTTAAGTAAATAAATAGATGTGAAAATAGTAAAATATGCCTCATTGGGGGTATCAAATAATTCTGTAGCAATGTTGTTGAGAGGGCGACTCTGCTGAATATGACTGTGGGTCGTACTGTCATAGAAGCTGGAAACCAATCAGAAATGGATGCAGGAAGGGAAAACTCTGGGTGTATTTGTGTGGAATGCAAAGACCTAAAATGTGAGAAATAGAATTTTCAAAGCTTAAGATTTGTGGTAAGGCTGTGCACGGTGACTCACGCCTGTTAATCCCAGCACTCTGGGAGGCTGAGGTGGGTGGATTGCCTGAGCTCGGGAGTTTGAGACCAGCCTGAGCCAGAGTGAGACTCTGTCTTTAAAAAATGGTCAGGCATTGTGGCAGGCGCCTGGAGTCCCAGCTACTTAGGAGGCTGAGGAAAGAGGATCACTTGAGCTTAAGAGTTTGAGGTTGCTGTGAGCTATGACACCAGGGGACTCTACCAAGGGAGCACAAAATGGAACTCTGTCTCAAAAAAAAAAACAAAACTGTGGTATTATATAGAATATGATATTGGTGATTTTTTGATATATAGTAACAAAATTTAGAGCTCTGCAGAGAACTAAATTAAAAAATATAAAAATATAACGATCTGGGTTTTCTGTTTTTAATTTTTCTTTTCTTCTCTTCTTTTTTTTTTTTTTTGAGATAGGATCTTACTCTGTTGCCCCAGTTAGAGTGCAGTGGAATAATGTCATCACCTGAGCTCACTGTAATCTCAAACCTCTAGGCTAGAGCCATGCTCCTACCTCAGCCTCTCGAGTAGCTGAGACCACGGGTACCCAGCACCACAATAGCTAATTTATCTATTTTATGTAGAGACAGGGATCTCATGATTGCCCAAATTCCTGACCTCAAGCATTCCTCCAATCCTGGCTTTCCAAAGTGCTAGGATTTATAGGCATGAGCAATTGTGCCTGACTAAATTTTTTTCTTATTGATTTATATCAAAAAAGATTTCTGGGTTGGCTCCAGTGGCCCACATCTGTAATCCTAGCACTCTGGGAAGCCAAGGTTGGTGGATCCCTTGAGCTCATGAATTTGAGACCAGCCTAAACAACTCTCCTTCAAGACCCCATCTCTACTAAAAATAGAAAAAACTAGCTGGGCATTGTGGCAGGCACTTGTAGTCTTTGTAGTCTCAGCTACTTGGGAGACTGAGGCAAGAGGATCACTTAAGTCTAAGAGTTTGAGGTTGCTGTGAGCTATGACACGTGGCACTCTACCCAGGGTGACAGAGTGAGACTCTGTCTCAAAAAAATAAATAAATAAAGATTTCTGCCTTATAATGCTGTTTGGCAATCTGTCCATCCTATCCAGTCAGCTTGTTTTACTTTTTCATTTTGTACCAGATATCATTATAACACCTAGGAATATTTTTTAAAAATGTTTCTGCTTCTCTTTTCTCCTTTATTTTCACCCCAGTATGTTTTAGACAGTGTTCAAGCAGGGATGCAGAGGATTATAGGATAAGGGATTTTCGTAAATGACCCAGAACTTACTTCTAGGAGAAGATAGAGCACTGAGGGTCAGAAAAGAGAAGTCGGGAGATTAGGGAAGTCTAATGCACCTGCAGAAGCACTGTCTGGCTGGGCAGACGGCCACTGACCTGGCATTGGGAACACAGGCACTTCTAGCTGCAGGGGGCCCAGGAAGGAGAGCTCCTGTGGTCCTCAGAGGACCGTGTCACTGCTCCTGATGGTGGACATGGGGTTTGGCGAGCAGGGCCAGTGCTTGTGGAGAGAGCCAGTGTATATGGCTGGCACTCTACCTGCTGAGCTGAGGGCAGCACCAGAGATTCTTAACTTTATTTGGGTTTAAGAAGAATATCATATTTGTTGAAATGTGTAGAAATTGAGTCTATATATGGCTTTTAAAATCTAACATTACCGGCTCGGCGCCTGTGGCTCAAGCGGCTAAGGCGCCAGCCACATACACCTAAGGTGGCGGGTTTAAATCCCCAGCCCGGGCCCGCCAAACAACAATGATGGCTACAACCAAAAAATGGCCAGGCGTTGTGGTGGGCACCTGTAGTCCCAGCTACTTGGGAGGCTGAGGCAGGAGACTCGCTTGAGCCCAGGAGTTGGAGGTTGCTGTGAGCTGTGATGCCATGGCACTCTACCCAGGGGGATAGCTTGAGGCTCCGGCTCAAAAATAAATAAATAAATAAAATAAAATCTAACATTACCTATCATTCATTATCAGTTTGTCTTACAATTCAGTATTAAATTTATACCACCTATCCTTAATTACCTCTATACAAATAAATACAAAGCCTTTCTTCTCTCTCTCTCTCCCTCTCTTTTTTTTTTGTTTTGAGACAGAGTCTCACTCTGTCGTCCTGGCAGAGTGCTGTGGCATCATCATAGCTCACAGCAACCTCAAACTCCTAGGCTTAAGTGATCTTGCCTCAGCCTCCCAAGTAGCTGGGACTATAGGCACCTGCCACAATGCCCCGGCTAGTTTTTCTACTTTTAGTAGAGGCGGGGTTTAGTTCTTGCTCAGGCTGGTCTGGAACTCCCCAGGTAAAGCAATTCACCTGCCTTGGCCTCCCAGAGTGCTGAGATTGGAGGAGTGAGCCACTGCCACAAAGCCTGTCTTTTCAAAAGTCAGTCTGTATCTCTCCTATTTAATGGTGAGCTCACTGGAATGCACTTCCCTGCTGTGACCAGCTATTCCCAGTCACTGGGACATGCCCTCCTATGTCCCAGCGCTTCAACAACCCAGACACCTTTTGGTATTTTGTGTTGACTGCTGATCTGTATTGGTTTTTAAATTTTTTAAACTTTATTATTTAGATTAGCCAATAATACTAATTTGCCTTATTCCTTTTATAAAAACTTTCTACCCCTATACTTACCCCCTTTTCAAAAATTCTCTCCAAATAGAGAAAAGACAAGCTGCGGGAACACATGCAGAGGATGCACAACCCTGAGAGGGAGGCCAAGAAAGCCGACCGCATCAGCCGCTCCAAGACCTTCAAGCCTCGCGTCACGTCCACAGACTACGACAGCTTCACCTTCAAGTGCCGCCTGTGCATGATGGGCTTCCGGCGGCGCGGCATGCTGGTCAGTGGGACGGGACAGCGGCCACACTGTCCCCGTTTGTCCCTCTCTCCTTCCCCGCCCGCCCCCTCCACCACTTCCATCACTAGTTTTCTTTCTCTTTACCTCATCAGTCTCTTTGCTGTTGTCTAATTTTATTTCCCTCTTTTTTTGTGTTCTCAGATACATTTTCAGGTAGGGTCTTTGCCTTCTCTCTGACTGTCTCCTTCTATGCCCCCCTCTGCCAATATCAAACACAGTAGAAGGAACCTTTCCATCTGTGCAGGGTACGTGGCCCAGGTCGGCAGAACCAGTCCTGACAGCCACTTCTCTGCTCTCCACTCGTTTTGGCCGTGTTACAGCTGCAGAATGTATTTCTGCCAGGAGCTGAAAAGCCATAGAGCAGTATTTAAAGTGTAGAGCCTTAGCTTGTAATCTTCTTCAGTGTTCTCAGTAAGGTCAGGGCATTAAATGGTGAGAAACAGGTTTGCGTCAGGACAGTCCACCAGAGAAATTCACACTCGTGTAATTTTCCAAACAGCAGGGACTGCTGATGGGGTTCCCAGTGCCCCAGTTCACCAGTAATTCTTTGCTGAATTACTGTCAACTCCGGCTCCCAGTGACTGTGAATGCTTTGGTGACACCGGTTCTGACCAAGTGCTTTATTGTTCAGGGGCTTCAGAGAATTTCATCTGCTCGCCGTCATGGTCAGAGGCATGTGTTAGCTTCTGTTCGTAATAGGGTCTCTTTTTCTCATTTGTTCTTTGTTTTCACTTCAGGTGAATCACTTATCAAAGAGACACCCAGATATGAAGATAGAAGAGGTGCCAGAGTTAACTCTACCCATCATAAAGCCCAACCGGGACTACTTCTGTCAGTATTGTGATAAGGTAAAAGAAGACCTCTCCTGGCCAGCGCCTCGCATGGGCACTTTGTCTGCATCTATAAACACACGGCCATGATAGAATCCCGCAGTTACTCTTCCCTTACTCATTTCCCATTCAGATCAGAAAGGACTAGAAGTGCAGCCTCATTGTCAGCCAGCTTTTTTCTTAAGAGTTAGTTGACTTTGTTTTCCTTACTGTCTCTTCTCTCTGTGATTTTTGTTCCACAAGAATAGAGTTGTTACCAAGTGCCTACTACATGAATGAATTGCAAATTCTTAAGCTCTAAAATGAGAGTGTTTATTATATTACTTGTTAAAACATATGGTAGATTTTCAGTTTCTAGAAGATCAAAGAGTTATGAAAAGCTTTATTTTTTGGTGGTGGAGTACTCTACTACTGTATTCCATTATTTTTGTGCAGTTGCAAAAAGGAAAAAGAATATATGTTTATTATTTTGTTATAATATTTTTTTCTTATATAATGTACCTATGTCAGCTTAAAGTAAGAAACATTTTTTAAACACAGATTCCTCACTGGAGGTAATAGTTGCTATTAAAATTGCCATTTGGAAGATTCTTTGGCTGTTAGTATTCAGCTACATACACACATGAGAGCTTTCACAGACAGCTTGCAGGATAAACTGTCTTAAAAAACTATTCTCTTTCAGTCAGGCACCGTGGCTCACACCTATATTCCTAGCACTCTGGGGGACTGAGGTAGGGGCAGCAGGGGGGACGGGGGAATACTTGAGGTCAGGAGTTTGACACCCACCTGAGCAAAGGGAGACCCCCTATCTGTAGTAAAAATAGAAAAATAAGTTGGGCATTGTGGCAGGCACCTGTAGTCAAAGCTACACAGGAGGCTGAGGCAAGAGGATGGTTTGACCTGGGAGTTTGAGGTTGCTATGAGCTAGGCTGACCCTGTACTCTAGCCTGGGCAATAGAGTTAGGCTCTGTTTCAAAAAAAAAAAAAAAAATAGAGGCCAGGTGCAGTGGCTCATTGCCTGTAATCTTAGCAACTCTGGGAAGCTGAGGCAGGTGGATTGCTTGAGCTCATGAGTTCAAGACCAGCCTGAGCAAAAGCGGGACCCTGTCTCTACTAAAAATAGAAAAAATTGAGGCAGGTGGATAGCTTGAGCCTGAGTTGGAGGTTGCTGTGAGTTATGACGCCATGGTACTCTACTCAGGGTGACAGCTTGAGACTCTGTCTCAAAAAAAAAAAAGAAATTCTCTTTCTATGTCTGTATGTCTTTAAACTTTTAGGGTAAAGCATATTAATTATGTTTTATTTTGGACTGCATACCATTTTTTTCCCACTTTCTTATGATGAAATTGTTAAGATAATTTGCTTTAAGCAAGAAAGCAGAACTGTGTACCCCTCTCATGGCCAAGCATTTGAATTGCAGGTTTATAAAAGTGCCAGCAAGCGTAAAGCTCATATTCTGAAGAACCACCCAGGAGCTGAGCTCCCACCAAGCATTCGGAAGCTCCGCCCTGCTGGTCCTGGGGAGCCAGATCCCATGCTGAGCACCCACACCCAGCTGACAGGGACCATCGCCACCCCGCCCGTCTGCTGCCCCCACTGCTCCAAGCAGTACAGCAGCAAGGTAGGGGATTTTCTGACTATCGGAGGTCCCAAGGGCTACGTAATGGATCACTCAAGGGTAGATGGCTTCTCATCCCCAGGGCCTGTGGGGCTCCTCTGAATTGAAGGGGACTGAAAGAGACGGCATCCCAGTGTGTATAAATGGCCCACAGTGAAAGAAGGGACGAGAATACCGTGGGCCTCCCCGGAGCTAGAGCCATCTGCTAGCCTGAGCAGGCGGCTGCCTCCCTTCTCCCCTGGCCTGTGGATGCCTCGGGTGAATGTCCTGAGCTCGAGGTTGATGAGCTACATAGGAACTGGGGTGGTAGTTGATGAGGGGTCGTTCCCCCTGTGGAGGTGGGGTGGAGGATGCTGCAGGGATCTGGACCTTGCCTGACGGTGCAGATCAGGGAGTTTGTACTTTCAGTCCCCCCCTTCCCCTTTTGCCACATTGTGCCATTTTGCAGACTGCAGCCAGGGAATCAGTGTTGCTCTGATCTTTGTTTAAAGGCTCAAAATAAAAAACTTACAGCTCGGTGCCTGTAGCTCAGTGCTTAGGGCACTGATGGGTTCAAACTCAGCCTGGGGCTGCCAAACAACAATGACAACAACAACAAAAAAATAGCCAGGCGTTGTGGCAGGTGCCTGTCCCAGCTACTTGGGAGGCTGAGGCAAGAGAATCACTTAAGCCCAAGAGTTTGAGGTTGCTGTGAGCTGTGATGGTACGGCACTCTACCCAAGGTGACATACTGAGACTCTGTCTCAAAAAGACAAAAACAGAAATTAAAACTACCCAAGGTGACATACTGAGACTCTGTCTCAAAAAGACAAAAACAGAAATTAAATCCCTTTGGAGGGATTAGGAGGAAAATTGAAAATAACTAATTGTGGTAATTAATTTTGGGTTTTGCCTTAATTTTTTAGACTAAGATGGTCCAACACATTCGGAAGAAGCATCCAGAGTATGCCCAGCTCCCTAACACCATACACACACCCTTGACAACTGCTGTGATCAGTGCTGCCCCAGCTGTTCTAACCACAGACAGTGCCACTGGAGAGACCGTGGTGACAACAGACCTGCTCACCCAAGCAATGACAGAACTGTCCCAGACCTTAACAACGGATTACCGAACGCCACAAGGGGACTACCAGAGAATTCAGTACATCCCTGTGTCGCAGTCGGCCTCTGGTCTGCAGCAGCCGCAGCACATACAGCTCCAAGTGGTGCAGGTGGCCCCGGTACTGCTTAGCATTTGTTTCTGTTTACCTTTGGGAAGGCCATGTTGCCATTAGCCAGTCTGGTAGCCGGAACCCAAACCACCCCCTTCTCAGAGCTGGACCTGGGCTCTACAGAATGTACTTCTGCATGGACGTTCTGAGGCTTGGGCGTTTGTAAAATGTGTCTCCAGCCTGTCCCTCCCCAGGCTGGTGAGGCCCCTGGATTTAGCAGTGTAAGATGCTTCTGTCCAGGTGGGGTTTAGTGTCTCACACCTGTAATCCCAGCATTTTGTTTGGGAGGCCAAGGCAGAAGGATCATTTGAGGCCAGGAGTTCAAGACCAGCTTGTGCAACATAGACCCCATCTCTACAAAAAATGAAAAAAATTAACCAGGCATTGTGGTGCACGCCTATAGTTCAGCTACTCAGGAGGCTGAGGCAGGATTGCTAAAGCCCTGAGTTTGAGGCTGCAGTGAACTGTCATCACACCACTGCACTCTCGCCTGGGTGACAAAGTGAAACCTTGGCTCCAAAAAAGTCCCCTTCTGTGCTGTTGCAGGACAGTGCTGGTGACACCTCTTTCTGAGCCTCTTCTGAATCCTTAACCTTCAGCTCTCAGGTTGGCTACCTGATAACGAGCCAGTTTGATAAGTCCATACCTGAGCATTGAATTACTGACACACATGTATCAGTGAAAGGTTGGAAAGAATACTTTTGATTCAATCCTGAATGTTGGTCAGCACCTTGGTTATTAAGGGGCTAAACAAAGGAATCCCCCTGGAAGTGATGTTGCATTTAATTATGCTAAGGAGAAGTGTACTCAAAGCACAAATGGCAAACTTGTTGCTTTTAAATCATTTGGTCTCCGAAAATTTAAAACACGGGAGGAGGAAATTGGAAGTTGCTACTGTCATTGACTTTTATCTCCCCCCACCCCTTTTTAAAGAGGGTTCTTAACTTTAGGCTTTTGGAGGAATCTATGAAACCCACGAAATGGGCTATAAAACATGATGCATGTGTACACTGTTCTGGACAAAGGGCCTGTCCTTTAGCTAGATTCTTAAAGATATGTTAAGATACACGAAAGGTCAGAAACTGCTCTGCTAGTGGGTTAATAGTGACAAACTAAAAGCAGATTCTCTTCTTTGATTTCTTGTAACTAATAAAAGGTAAGTCATTAAATTTCATTGAAATGTTTGATTCCTGCCAGCTTCTCATTCAGCTTCTTGTCAGGAGCTATATTCCCTCCTCCCTCTCCCTCTTCCAGAAATTACGGCATTAGCAGTTTGTGATCCTGAGGCAGAATTCTTCCCACTGTCTTTTCCGCTCCTCTGGGCTGCAGCGTGGGCTGCCTGGGAGTACAGCACTGGGTCTGAGTTCTTGCTCTCCCTCCGTTTCTGCTGGGGTGTTGTTTTTTTGTTTTTTTTTTTGTTTGAGACAGAGCCTCAAGATGTCCCCCTGGGTAGAGTGCCGTGGCATTACAGCTCACAGCAACCTCCAACTCCTGGGCTCAAGCGAGTCTCCTGCCTCTGCCTCCCAAGTAGCTGGGATCACAGGCACCCGCCACAATGCCCAGCTATTTTTTTTGGTTGCAGCCGTCATTGTTGTTTGGCGGGTCCGGGCTGGGGATTCGAACCCACCACCTTAGGTGTACGTGGCTGGCGCCTTAGCCGGTTGAGCTATAGGCGCCGACCTGGGGTGTTGTTTTTAACTGAACTTTTCTCTGGAAGAATTTACTTTACCTCAATCAATATGTGTTTGGTTTCTGGGTCTGTTTTTCCTCCCTCCAGGCCACTTCCCCACACCAGTCTCAGCAGTCCACGGTGGATGTTGGGCAGCTCCACGACCCTCAGGCCTACACCCAACACGCCATCCAGGTGCAGCACATCCAGGTCAGCGAGGCCACGGCCTCAGCCCCGCCATCATCCCAGGTACCTTTCTCCATCGACTACTGAGAAGTTGATAAGGCCTCAGGGACCATGACAGTTACGGTCATAAGTGAGAAGACATGATCTCTGGGACCCAGTTTCCTCAACTATTGAGGTATCATTATTTGGGGACCTTAATTGAGGAGTCCAGTTTCATGTGGGTATTGTAGACACTGTTACCTTATGGCTTCATCTATCTAAAGGGAGCCCTGAGCTGTGACGCTCTAGAGATAACACTGGCCTTTGCTTCCCATTCTGAATGTACTTGCTGACTTCTTTGATTTAGAAAAGTGGCTGCGTGGAGTATTACTGTGTTGTGACATATTACTGTGTTTATATGATTGAGTCTGTTATTGAGATATGTAGATAAGTTATGGGAGTTGAAAGAGGACAGATCATGTTCAGCAGGGAATTTTTGTAGAAGTGCTGGTCTTTGAATTAGGTTTTGAAAGAGGGGTAGGAGTTTGACATGGTGGTTGGGGGAAGGCATCATGATCTCCTTAGCTCATTGTGAGTAAAGACTCAGATGGGAAACTGTGGTTTGTTTATAGAAAACTGAGTTACTCTGTTCAGATTACTAGTAGGAAATGATGTTTGGAAAGAAAGTCAGACAGGTAGTTTGGATTATAGAGGGCCTGGCATGGCAGGCTGGGAGCTTCCGCCTTTCACCGGTGGCTGAATGTATGTACCTATGCTGAGCTCCACCACCTGGGTGGGATCCCCCCCGCCCCCCCGTGGGATAATGGGAATAACTTTAATCACAGCGGTGACCCTCTCAGTGTCATAATCCATACTTGTCTGATTTAGTTTCTTGAGTTGTTCATGAGTCTTAACTATATCAGAATTTTACAGTTCCCTGCTCTTGCTTTCTCTTCCTCCCTAGGTAGCTGGGCAGCCCTTGAGCCCCTCTGCCCAGCAGTCCCAGCAGGGCCTCAGCCCCTCTCACATGCAGGGCGGTTCTTCTGCACAGGGGCAGGCCCTGCAGCCCCAGCCGCAGCAGAACTCCTCCGTGCAGCACTCGTACCTGCCCAGCGCTTGGAATTCCTTCCGGGGCTACTGTAAGTAAGAACAGGGAGGAAGGGGGTGATGCTGTCTAGGTCATGGGGGAGGGTCTGCAGTCCTGTGTCATGATTTTATCAGTTTGATGATAGATTTTGAGTTTAAAGTATCAATGGGCCATTTTCTACACTCTGTAGTGCATGTACTGAAAGGGTTTCATGACAAAGCTCAGGGCAGTGCTCTGATTCTGACATTTCCTGAAATGTTAGGTATATTGCTGTAGGAAGTATAGGTAGGTAATTTAAGTAGTACGATAGATGGGTATAGGATATGTTGATGGTAATGATTCATCCCTCTGCCTATATATATTTTAATTTCAGAATATTAAGGGGTGCACACGTTTTGCTTACATGCTTTGTTTTTGTACAGATTGCATCAAAGTTGTAGGTGTGTCTTTCACCCAGATAGTGTGCGCCGTACCCAGTAGGTGTGAATTTACCCTCCCCTCCCCTCACCCTTCTCTCCCCGCTTCCACCAGTATCTATTGAACGCCCACATATCAGTCATGGTACTAGACTCTGACTGTACCAAGATTAACATTAATATCAGGACCACTACACAATAATGATGTTAGCCAGCTTTCATTAAACTCCTACCATAAGCCTGGAATGATTCTAAGCCGTATATATCATATTCAGTATTCATAACAGTCTATGAGATAAGTACAGTTTTTTGTATTTTACAGATAAGGCAATTTTGGCACACTTAACTTGTCCAAAAGATGTCCCTAGAAAGTGGGGGTTGGAACTCTGTAGCTGAACCCCACCCCTCTGTGCTGTCTTCCCTCAAGACAGCCTTTGGTTCAAAGAGATCACATCTAATGGAGGAGACAGGTAGATGAGTAGTTGGTTCCAAACCTTGGTGGTCACAGTGAGGGCTGAGTCTAGTTTCCAGTCAGGGAAAATCTCTTACTCATAGTAAATACTGGTAGAATACAGCTAAATAGACTGACCTTTCTACTCAGTTTAATTCCTGGGAAAGAAAGTGGAGTGATTGAACATACCTGTAGTAATAACGGCATGAGTTAACATTCTAACCCAGAGAAAAGATTCTGGAACTGAAACTTTTTAGTAGGAAAAAATGCCAGACATGCTTTCATTATCAAAAAATTCTTATCGGAGATGGAAAGATCACATCACCGTGGGACTCTTCTCAGCAAGCAACTCCAAGGAAAATGCCTCAGTGGGGAATGTGGTTACTGGCGTTAGGTATACCTAGTTTCTAGAACTTGTATTTAAATCTGAGACCAATGAAGTGTGGATATTTTCTGTTTTTCAGCATCTGAGATCCAAATGATGACACTTCCCCCAGGTCAGTTTGTGATTACAGATAGTGGTGTGGCGACCCCAGTTACCACGGGCCAAGTAAAGGCAGTGACTCCGGTAAGCTGTGCTGCTCCGTTGGTTTCTTTCCTCTCCCCTGATGCCATGTTATCACCCGGTCACTGTCTATTTTTTAGTGATTAGTTTACTCTGTTTTCTCACAATAGATGATGAATTCCTTGAAAGCTGAGTCTTGGTCTTTGTCACTTTATCTTCAATACCCTGCCCAGGAGGCTAGACTATGGCGCGTGGCTCCCTAAGTGTCTATTCAGTTAATAACTATAACGATGCTAGAGCCATCCCTGGGAGCACATTTTTATACGCTTCTTGGAAAGGTTACAAGTCCTCAAGGCTGCTGGTCCTCAGCAGGATTGGGAGAGAATAATGTAATGAATGAATTACAGAGCTATTTTAAACATCTCACCCAGCCCCACATGAATTGCCATAAATTCTCTTGTTATATTTAAGTTGGGCAGATACAACGTTGCTTCTATCTACTACCTCTGTTTTTTATCTTTACTGGTTTGTTCTGGCCTATCTCTTAAGTATTACAAGGTAGAGTACATAAATTTGAATTACTCAGGGGTGAATAAGTTCTGGAGATGTAATGTACAATATGGTGACTTATAGTTAATAAAATCTATTGTATACTGAAATTGTTAAGTCAATCCTAATTGTTCTCACTTTATAAAAAGTCTGTGAGGTGATGGACATGTTAACCAGGTTGATTTGATCCTTTTACGGTGTTAATATGCGTATTTCAAAACATCATGTTGTATACTATAAATATACTTATTTTTATATTTTTTATTTGTGAATTATACCTTAATAAAGTTGGAAGGAAAAAAGAAATGTGGCTAAGGAATATTGGGATGTTACCAAGGGAAGGCTGTTTTCCAGGGGTCCTCGAGGGAATCTTGGTCATCTAGTGGCCTCAAAAACCTGATTTTTAACAAAAGCCTCCTGAGAGTTCACCCGTTTCTTAGCACACAAGGTCACATTAACTAAATGTAGGAGAGATGAATCAATCCAGAGAAGCCCTATTAATTGTCAATAAAAATGGTAAGTAATGTAAAATAGAGTCGTCACGTCGGCTCCCTGTGGGATCCGTTCATTGACCTTTGCTTTCTGTGGCCAGGAACTCACTCAAGTAAGGACCAGATTAGAACCCAGGATGTTTCCCTGCCCCACCATGATATATATGTGCACAAATTTATTGTACACTTTGGGGGTTTCATGGACCCTATGTTGAGAACAGGCCCTTCCCCCCGCAAAGGAAGACCCGAGGGGAAAGCAAATCCTAGTCACAGAGTTGCTTGGTAGGGAAGGACTGGACACACGGCCCTGGCTGAGCCGATGGCTGTGGCTGTGGCTTTTCCTCTGGACACTGCTGGGAAAGGATCCCCCTGAATTCCCCCGCTGGGGCATCTTTTTCCTTTGCTTCTTATTCTTAGCTGACCTATTCTCCTTCTCACTGATAAATTCTTTCTTTAAATATGTTAACCAAATAGCCAGCCACATGTCTGGGAAGAAGTGTACATGATCAGAGGGAAAATGAGAAATATTAAAATGTGTCAGCTCTATGAAAATAAAGGTAAATTATTCAATGTAAGGGGCTTTATTTAATAAGATTTTGTTGTTCTTATACTCTTGAGTATTAAAATGCTTGTTCAGTGATAAATTAGCAAAATAAAATTTGGGGACCATCTACTATTTTAAACTGTGTTGGATCTTTAAAATTCTGAAGTCTGGGAACCACTGATTTCAACTACCTTTCTTAGGGGCCATTCTGCCCTTTTAAGGAGGCTTTAAATATCTCTTCTTTGACCTATTCTGTATTAATCTAAGATTTAATTGCCAGATAATAGTCTTTTCTGAGTTTCCAAATTCTTAGGAGCCGTGTAATAGCACATGTTTTCTTTGCCATGTGTGTTACCACCACGATGCGTTTCTGTACCTGCAGCTCTTCCCTGTACGTCTGATACCACAGCAAAGGTGTCACCTCTGCAGTTAGCGTGACCAGGCCGTGCTCTGTCCTCTCTAACGCCTCGGGGGAGTGCGTCTCCGGGATTCCATTTTGGGGTCCCCTTGTGACAGTTCTTTGCATGTTCTCCCCTCTTCTCCCCCAGTAGCTCCACCTTCCCTCCTAGGCCCCATGTTTTTAAAGATCCTTTTCTTCCTGCTGTAGGGTCATTATGTTTTATCAGAAAGTCAGCCAGAATTGGAGGAAAAGCAAACGTCTGCTCTCGCCAGTGGAGTCCAGGTTCAGCCATCTGCGCACAATGACTCCTTGGACTCCCAGACCACCAGCCAACAACAGACCACACAGTACATCATCACCACCACCACCAACGGGAACGGAAGCAGCGAGGTGCACATCACCAAGCCGTGACCTGGCTCCTCCAGCTAGAATCAAGCAGCCCCATCATGTCTTTTCTCACTCATAAATCTGAAAGCTTACGACATTTACAACTCTTTTTTAAAGATTTATTACTCACTCAAGAGTTTGGAAACTACCGTTTCGGCACTCATACACCGACTGGGGTTTATTTCGCCAAGGTCATCTTTACCAAATTGACTCTTCCGACCCTAAAGGTTTTTGCCATGGAATGGAGATCTTTGAGGGGAAAGTAGATTTCAGGATGGAGAAACTTTGCCTTGCTCTTGTTTTTGTTTTTGTTTTTTTTTAACACACAAAAAAAACATTGGTAAGCCTTACTTTTCCTTTGTGGAAATATTAAGCGGCATATTGTGTTCGTACCAAAGGTGGAGAAAGGATGTGCCAAGTCCATGGTTACTGGACTCCTTCATTCCAAGCCATGGCACCAAAGGAGAAGGGACATTTTATGGGCGTGTGTTAGGTCAGAACTGCTTTCTCTTGTGAGTTTGACTTTTTAGTCTAACAAAGGGATCCTACTGAAGGAGGAAATAAAAATGATGAAATAAAAGTCTGACAGTGATGTTCTGAAGACAAAACTCATCTAAATTTTTGTTTTTGCTGATTTTTTTAAAGAACTTAACTATTTTGCAAAACTATTGTTGGGCTTTTGATGGTGCTTTCTACAGATGCTAGCCCTCAGCAGATTAGGTGAGAACTTCATGTGCTGATTGCTCTTACTTTATTACCCTACTAGGTAAACTCCCTGAAAGAGAAAAGATGGCTTGATGTCAGCGGAATTTAAATCCCTACGTTAAAGTTTTGCCTCGCCATCTCTGGTTGTGGTTGTATTAAGAAAGAGATACTAGCACCAAGAAAAATTTACTAAAACTACACACACATACACTCAGAGACAGAGACACAAAATACTGAAACCGTCCCCTGCCTTGCAGAATCCACTTACCATTTGTTGGAAAAGGATGAATTCCTTTACCATGTGGACATTTAACTCCTGCTCACAGTGTTCAGTGTATTTTAGCATTTTTAATGCTGTCTTAAAATGAACATTCCTTAAAAGTTGGATGGAAAGGTGGACTTTCTGATTTAACATTTTTAACTTTAATGTAACTTATCTGGACCTTTTTGTAAGATAAGTAACTTTACACTTAAGGGAAAAATAAAAAGGCAGGGACCATTTACAGTATTTAGGGCCATTAGAAGGGATCTAGAAGAAAGCAATCTTTATGAATATTATACTGTTAGATGGGAGAGGAAGAAGAATCTGCCTTCAGGATAGTTTTTCTTACATGTGTTCCTGTTTGAGAGTCTCGTTTGCTATGAATTCAAGGAGGAAAAATACTTTCCTTTTTTTTTTTTATCATACATTCCAATTATATGCATTTAAAAAGTCAGTATGTATTTGAACAACTTTTTGTGACATCCTAACACATATTTAGAATAATTACTGCATAGTAGAATTTATCACTCCAAAACAGAAAGGCCTCACTTCATTTCAAATGAAGTTAACTATACGATTTACATTTTTGGATAAAAACTGGTTTTATACATTCAGAGGTGGAAAAGCTTCTTTATGTTAAAGATGACTATCTGAAAAGTAAACACTTCTGTGGAAATAACTGTACTAATATGTACATTTTTGCACTTTATTTTTAAGACCTCGTTCATATAGTTATCTCAGAACTCAGCACCAAAAGAACTTCAGAAAGTTACTCCATGAACATGTGGAAACTGAAAACAGACTCTATCTGGGGTAACAAAGAAGTAGTGTCAGTGTTTCCGACAGAAAATTTTGACCTGGAGTCAAAATTCATACAGTCCCACAGTCCCACTGAGTGATGCTTATAAACATCCTGGGGTCCAGTCTGGAGAGAGTTGCTAGGTGAATATTAGATTTTTCCAAAGGTCCTGTTTTAATTTTTAGGACTTAAATGTGGCCTTGTTGGGCTTTTTTAAGTTGAAGCCATCAAGTATCTCTCCCTGAAAACTGGAATAACTTAGTGAGAAGTTGAAAACTCTCCCTGAATGGAATGTTCATTTTATGCCAGTTATTTCAAGTCTTAAAATACACAGAGGCATGTATTGCGGAAGGACTTTTTTCTCTTTCCTTTGAAAGTGTTTATGCTTGTCTTTTTTTCTTTTTTGGTCCTTGTATGAAATAAAGATGCTAAAACGAATTTGTATATTATCAACCAGAGATGCAAAGTGGTAATTAAGCCAGGTAACATGGCTTTCAGGCCAGGTGCTCTGTCCATTCATCCAAAGGTCATAGATTTTCAAAAAGACTTGGGTTTGAGGAAATGGTGGGTGATAAGCTATCTGAAGACCCAATTTGGAAAACATGAATGTAGCCAGTGTTCACACTGTGCCCTCTCTCAGTGACACGCCGACACTGTATGCAGACTTCATCCAGTGCAGTGTGAGTGGAGGAGGTGGGACATAGATTTTATGTTTTTATTGTTTGATTTGTGCCCTCAAATAGACATTTCATCATGTAAAATTCCTGTTTTCTGGAAAACCCTATTGTTTTGATCTTTTTGAACTGTTTTCAGACTTGGAATTATCCTTTCAAAAAACTCTTAAGATATCTAAGTCTAAAAAGCACTTCATGAGATGCGAAAGCTGACCCATTGGTTGAAATGTTGCCCCCATCCTGTTATTTAAATGTGAACATTTATTGTACATTCAGTGAGTTATAGTGTTAATAGTCTTGTGCTACCCAGCAGGTGTAAAAATTAATAAATATTTTTTTTTAATAAACATGTTTCTTGTTTGTATGGGTGAAGCTCCAAAAGCTGTCAAGCTGGTTAAATGTTTTTCTTTCGAGGCCAGGCTCGGTGGCACACGCCTGCAATCTCAGCACTCTAGGAGGCCAAGGTGGGTGGATGGCTTGAGCTCGGGGGTTCAAGACCAGCCTAAATAAGAGCAAGACTCCATCTCTACTAAAAATAGAAAAACTAGCCACACATTATGGCGGATGCCTGTCGTCTCAGCTACTTGGGAGGCTGAGGCAAGAGGATTGCTTGAGCCCAAGAGTTTAAGGTTGTTGTGAACTATGAAGCCACAGCACTCTACTGAGGGCAACAAAGTGAGACTCTGTCTCAGAAAAAAAGTTTTTCTTTCAAACATTAAAAGTTTCTGATTTTCAATCTGGCATGTAGAAGCTTAGACGTTTCCTCTCTATCCTAACAACAAGTAAAAAGCTAAAAAAATGGAAAAACTAAGCACTCTTCTTAGATCTTTCAGAGAATTGAGCTCATAGGACAAACTGTTGCTTCCCAAATTGGAGACATAACCAAGGTAATTCAGAGAATCAAAGCTCAGAGAACAGAAATCCACAGGCAAAAACCCAAGGGCACACTCCGTGAGAACCAGTGCCCGAGTAAGGATATCTATAACTGGCAAATTGCTGCGGGCTCCCTGTGCACACGTCTGAGACAGTAAAAGCCGCAGAGGACCTCACTTCTGTGAGTTTTACCCCCAGGAGCTCAGGTAATATTGCAGAAAAATCTCCTCATGCCTCTAGTAGCAGAACGAGAAAAGGAACCATTTAAAAATATACCAGAGCATTCCGTTCTTCCTAATAAGATACTTCCTCAGAAAAAACTAACCAGTGCTTCACCTGCTGAAGTTATAGCAGAGCCTCCCTGATCCGTAGGAAGAGAAATATCCAAACACAGCCCGTTCTGGCCATCCCATCCTACCTACAGGGGAGACTGAGAGGTACATGAGACGTTCACAGTCCAGGGGCACAGGTTCACTAGGAGACGGAGACGTACAGAGGGACTACCGAATGCTTCCACCCCACACCTCAGCACCACATCACTAAATGCCTACTCACAGAAATTCGTTACCTGCAACATCATGTACGGCCATCAAGAATAAAATTACAAAGCATACTAAGAGGCAAAAAACACAATTTGAAGAAAAAGCAAACATCAGACCCAGGTTTAGATACGGCAGTGCCAGGCACATTGGCTCATGCCTGTAGTAATCTCAGCACTTTGGGAGGCCATGATGGGAGGATCACTTGAACCCAGGAGCTTGAGAACCAGCCTGAGCCACATAGTGAGATACTTTTTCCACAAAAAGATAAAAATTAGCTGGGCTTGGTGGTACGTGCCTGTAGTTCTGGCTACTTGGGAGGCTAAGGCATAAGGATCACTTAAACCCAGGAACTTGAGGGTAACTGAGCTACAATGATGCCAGTGTACTATAGCCCAGGTAAAAGAGAAAGACCAAAACTGAAAAAAAAAAAAAAAGCCCCCAAAACTCAGAAATACATATGGGAGAGATCTGGGAATTCACAGACTGGGAATTTAAAACAACTGATAATATGAAAAAGGCTTTAGTAGAGAAAACAGGTAACAAGAACAAATGAACAATGTAAACAGATGGAAATTCTAAGAAAAAATGCTCAAGATCAAAAATACTATAAAAGAAATGAAGAGTAGGTTTGATGAGCTTACTAGTAGACTAGACAGCTGAGGAAAGAATCTCTGAGCTTGAGGAAATCTCAATAGAAACCTTCAAAGCCAAAAGACAAGTAAAAAACAGACTGAAAAAGAAAAAAACCCACATAGAATATCTAAGAACTGTGAGACAATGAAACAGGTGTAAACATGCACAATTGGAACAGCAGAAGAAGCAGCAGAAAACGGAACACAAAGAGTACTTCAAAAATGATAATTCCCCCCAAGTTAATATCAGGCATGAAACCACAGATCTGGGAAGCTCAGAGGACAAACAGTATAAATGCAAAAAAGAAATGCCCCCCATCCCCCAAAAAACAACTTGACTATTTTTTAGAAGCCATTAATCCAAGGAAGGAATGGAGTGAAATATTTAAAATTTGGAGAGAATAACCCATGAAATTATTTTTTAAAAGTGAAAGGGAAATAAGGACTTTCTTAAACAAAATTGAGGGAGTTTGTTGCCAATAGACCTTCCTTACAAGAAATGTTAAAAGTAGTTTTTCAGAGAAGGAAGATAAGTCAGAACATCTGATCTACATAAAGAAAACATTAGAGAATGAATAATTGAAGGCAAAAGAAAAGTCTTAATTTCTCTCATTCTTGATGTAGCACGAGACAATTCAAAATGATAATGACATGGATTATATATGCTAATACATGTACAAAGATGTTTACATGTAAGTGAAATGAGTGGCAGCAGTGATACAAAGGATGGAGGGGAGGAATTAGGATTATTTATTATAAGATAAGCACACAGGGTGCTGCCCGTGGCTCAGTGGGTAGTGTGTAGGCCACATGCACCAAGGCTGGTGGGTTTGAACCCAGCCTGGGCCTGCTAAATAACAATGACAACTGCAACAAAATAATACCTGGGTGTTGTGGCAGGTGCCTGTCAAGTCCCAGCTACTTGGGAGGGTGAGGCAAGAGAATCATTTAAGCCCAAGGGTTTGAGGTTGCTGTGAGCTGTGACGCCATGGCACTCTACCCAGGGTGACAGCTTGAGATTCTGTCTCAAAGAAAAAAAAAAGATAAGCACACAGACCTTCTGGATAGCTCTGTGGAAGGGCACGGAAGCTCCACATGCCTTCCTCCGTTAAAAAAATAAAAAGAAGATACGCTATCAACAAAGTGGGATAGTGTTATGGGAAAATGGGCTTGGATTAATTGTAAACTTACATTGCAAACTCTGGGGCAACCACTAAAGTAAAAGAAGTAGTATCACTGATATGCTAAGACAGTAAAGAAAATGGAATCATAAAATATTAAATTAAGGCTGAGCTCAGTGGCTCAGGCCTGTAATCCTAGTACCCTAGGAGGCTGAGGCAGGAGGATCACCTGAACCCCAGAGTTTGAGGTTCCTGTGAGCTAGGCTGACACCATGGCACTCTAGCCTGGACAACAGAACAAGATTCTGTCTCAAAAATAAATAAATAAATAAAATGCTCCATTAAAACCTCAAAAGACAGAAAAAGTGGAAGATGAAAATAGGAGACTAGTAAAAGAGCAATACATAGAAAACAGGACCAAATTGCTATTAATGTAAATGTATCAATAGTCACTTTGAACATCATTGGTCCAAGGGCACCCATTAAAAGACAGAGATTGTCAGAGTTGACAGAGAAACAAGACCCAAGTATATGTTGTCTACGAGAAACCTACTTTAAGTAGAAAGACTTACAGATTAAAAATAAATGGTTGGAGAAAGATACATCATGCTAACGCTAATCAAAGAAAGTGGGATCAGCCACATTAACTTCATATAGAACGGGCTTCAGAGCAGGGAAAGTTATCGGAGATAAAGAGTGGTGTTATATCAATGAATCCCAAATAATAAAAAAAAAGAGTGGCGTTACGTGATAAGGGAGTCAGTTCTTCAAGAAGACATAACCCTTTATGTGCATGCACCTAACAACAGAGGCTCATAAGGTAAAACTGATAGAAGTGCAAGGAGAAACAGATGAACCCACCGTTACAGTTGGGGACCAGGACCCTCTATCAGAAATGCACGGATTGTGCAGGCAGAAAGTAAGGACGGACGCAGTTGAACTCAACAACATCACAGATCAATTGCTCTACAGACTACTCCACCTCCTAACAGGAGAGTAGATATTCTTATCAAGCACCTGGGTCATTTACCAAGGTAGAGCACATTTTGGACCATAAAACACTTTAACAAACTTCAAAGAATAGGAATCAAACCTATTCTGCTCTCATACAACAATGGAATTAAAGTAAAAGTAACAGAAAGACAGCTAGAAAAATGTCTAAAGGTTAGCCTGGTCAACACAGCAAGACTTCCAACTCTACAAAAATTTAAAAAAATTGGCCAGGCATGGTGGCATGTACCGACAGTCCTGGCTACTCCAGAGGTTACTTGAGCCCAAGAGTTCGAGGCTGCAGGGTGTAGGACAAAGACAGTAGTTAGTGCTTAGCATAGTGCCTACGGGCAGGGTATGCTATTTGTAATAAAACTGCATTCACTGGGGTTATGAAGCCTTACTTCACCGTGAGGAAAAGACCGACGTCGTCTCTGCTCTCGGGAAGCTCCTGGACCAAGCAAAGAGCACAAGCCGGCTGTAAACTGCATCCCCACGACCACACCGCGCGCTCCTCGGCCTCCGCCTCCACCTCGCCTCGCCCCGCCCCGCGGCCCCGCCTCCACCTCGCCTCGCCTCGCCCCGCCCCTCAGCCCCGCCTCTGCCTCGCCCCGTAGCCCCGCCCCGCGAAGCCCCGCCTCTTCCGCCGCCCGGGTCCGGAGCGTGCACGCACCCAGACGCTATGCGGGAGCGAGCGCGTTCGGGAACCCGCGGCCAGACGAGGCTGGCGGATGGGGCTCCCGCGCCTGGCGTTCAGGTGAGCGGAGGCCGGAGGCGGCGAAAGGGTTAAAGTGTCCCCAAGGAGCGGAGGGAGGGGGCCGCTGGATCCCGGCGGTCGCTGCCTCTGTGGGCGTGGGCAGGGGAGCGGGGCTGCCCGGTTGGGTGGTGGTTAGGGTTAAGCACGCCGTGGGGGAGGGGCGAGGGCGAGGGGTGCAGTTTAGAAGGGAGGGACCCCGGCCTTGGGCCCGGACGGGGTCGGAGAGGGAGGGGTATAGTGCCTGGGGGACGGATTTGCAGCCGGCAGTTGCTCCGGGAGGAGCCAGGGGCTTTGCGTCTGTCTTGGGGAGAGTTCAGAAGGGAAAGTTATCCCAGGTGCGGAGGAAGGGCCATTGGGAGAGGCCTTTCCGGGCTGGTGAAGAGGTCCAGGACACCCCAAGACTTAGAAATCTTTGGCTTCCGGGGTTCCAACTCCCTGGCAGCTACCTGCCTTTTGTATTTTGAGATCCTGTTCAGAATAGCGGCAGGACAAAGATTGTCACTGGAATAGAGTACAGTTAGCTAGACTTCCACCGTAATTGGAGACACTTGGGAGCAAGTTGTGTAGAGTCAGGTAGGACGCTGACTTTGCAGCTGATACTTTGCCGATTTTATTAAGAGAATTTTTTTTTTTTTGGAGACAAAGCCTCAAGCTGTCGCCCTGGGTAGAGTGCTGTGGCATCACAGCTCACAGAAACCTCCAACTTCTGGGCTCAAGAGAGTCTCCTGCTTCAGCCTCCCAAGTAGCTGGGACCACACGCACCTGTCACAACACCCGGCTATATTTGGGTTGCAGCCCTCATTGTTGGGTGGGCCCGGCCCGGATTCGAACCTGCCACCTTAGGTGTATGTGGCTGGCGCCTTAACCACTTGAACCACAGGTGCCGAACCTATTAAGAGAATTTTATTCTAAGCATCAGGTTGCTTGTGGGTTCTTCTCGTATTTTAAACTTTTGTTAAACTCATATGCTGTGTGCTTTTTCACCTGCTTCAGTTACTTGGGCACCAGGCATTGTCAGAAGTCATTTCATTATGTGTTGAAGGGGCACAATTGTTTGGAGACTACCTATCTTCCTTGATCCAACAGGAATTGTTCTGCTGTGTCTTTACATAGAACTGAAATCTCTTCAAGAGAACTTGATATAATTTAGTGTAATGCTGCTTCATTTTACATGCAATTATTACAGGTCTGCTCTTCATCATTTGGAAATTTTGGAGGTAAATACTTGCTTATGTAATGTAAACTGTCACACATCTAGAGATTATTCATTGCAGGATTTCGGCTTTGAAAATAACAGTAGGGAAGGATCTGGTCCCATTCACCTTCCTTTTGTGGATAGCTAAGGAAGTTGACATCTGCGGTGGTACGATTTGTGGAATGTCACTAAGAATTTCTGGCAGACCTGGGCTAGAAGTTTAGTGTTTCAACCGTTCAGTGCTTTTTTCCTCTCCATTTTAGTATGCTTGTTAGCTCATTTGGTAGGAATAAGAGCTAGAGAGAATGGATTTGGTAGAGAGTACCTTTGAGTTCCAACTCCCTGTGGTCCTGTTAGTGTGTTTAGTTCTATGCTATCAACTATCCTAAAGGTGATGAGCAGTGTTACTGTAGGAGGGAGAAAAACAGCATCAGTTTACAGGGTTATAAATATCAAATGGACCAACTAAAGGCAAACTGGCCACTGACTTTACTGATTGTCATGGTCAGGTGCATGGAACCTCAGGAATTTAAGTAGACTAATAGTCTTATCAAGAAGCTTCCTTTTCAGGCCTGGCGCAGTGGCTCATGCCTGTAATGCCAGCACTCTGGGAGGCCGAGGCAGCTGGATTCCTTGACCTCAGGAGTTCCAGACCAGCCTGAGCAAGATCGAGACACTGTCTCTTAAAAAAGAAAAAAGCAAAAAAGCTGGGTGTTGTGGTGGGTGCCTGTAGTCCCAGCTACTTGGAAGACTGAGGCAAGAGGATTACTTGAGCCCAGGAGATTGAGGTTGCTATGAGCTATGATGCTACAGCATTCTACCTGAAGTGACAAAGTGAGACTCTGTCTCAAAAAAAAAAAGCTTGTGGCTCCGCGCCCATAGTTCAGTGGTTAGAGCACTGGCCACATAACACTGAGGCTGGTGATTCAAACCTGGTGAGGGCCTGCTAAAACAACAATGACAATTATAACAAATAGGCTGGCATTGTGGTGGGCACCTGTAGTCCAAGCTACTTGGGAGGCTGAGATGAGAGAATTGCTTGAGCCTAAGAGTTTGAAGTTGCTGTGAGCCATGATGCCACAGCACTCTACTGAGGGCAACAAAGTGAGACTGTCTCAAAATAAATACATTTCAAAGGTTTATACAAGAGGTATTATGTATAGTGTTAAGAACATGGGTTTGCAGGCAGGTGAACTTGCCTTTCAGTACTGTCTCTGGG